TGCTGTTATTGCTGCTGCTGTTATTGCTGCTGCTGTTATTGCTGCTGCTGTTATTGCTGCTGCTGTTATTGCTGCTGCTGTTATTGCTGCTGCTGTTATTGCTGCTGCTGTTATTGCTGCTGCTGTTGTTAGTGTCGTCTTCGCCGGTATTGTGATCATTGCTACTACTTATTTCTACTACTGTATTTGAAAGGGGTAATTAACTACACAGGAAATATAAACATAGCTGCGCAGACAAAGGAGAATTAGGCCGTCCTTGCAATTACTATGTAGTACCTAGCCCACACGTTTGGAGGGTCATCTCAGTGTACCTATCTAGGTACCTAGGTATCTGTACATAACCGGGCCTTGTGAAGTTAGCAGCTGTGGCCAACGTCCAATGAGCAAATAGTGTGTGGAGACCCCTGGAACACGCTCCCACGCCGCGACCTCGCAAACCAACGCGCGCTGAAGTCAGCCTCATGTGAAATGAACTTTCTCTCCCATGTCGCCCAGGGTCTCTGCAAAGAATCCGTCCCCAAAGCCTATTTTGCCCGCCATCTCGGAAGTTTCTGCGCACTGCTATTGTCATCAAGAGATATTCACTTCTGGATACTCCTGCGCTTCCTTGCCCCGGCGACACCGACCGTCGCAGCTGCCGCACTTACAGCTCCCTGCCTTTCGACCTAAATCGCAACGCTTTCGTTTTGCGACAGCCACTCAACCCCCGCGACTAGAACACCCAACCGCGGATCCTCCTCCGAAAATTTCACAATGGCCAAGGTCGCAACCGAATTCGAGAAGATTATCCAGGAAGGTAGACATGTCCTTTCCCCCTTCCTTCTGAAGTACAATGTTGCCGGCTAGAAACAGCCGCTAACCGACGTCTTGCTTGGGATGCGCAGGACGAGAGAGGAAGAAGAACGAGGCGCTGGCACAGAAGATCTTTTCCAAGGATAGACGACAAAGCGCCCCATCGAAGCTCAAGCCCGGCGCAGGTCCTTCGCTGGCTAGCAGAGTTGGTGTCAATAAGGTATGGCCGCCGCCCGTTTGCTCGAGTCGAGTCGAGTCGACAAAAGCACGCAAGCTGACAGCGCTTAATACAGCAGCGTACCGCCTCTCTCGGTCCCAAGGCCGTTCCCGCTGGTAACATCGACGGCGACTGGACGCATGACCTTCATGGCACAGTGAGCGGCGGACGGAACGGCGCCGGAGCTGGTGGCCTTGCGTCTCGCATCTCGGCGCCTGGAGGCAAGCCTTCTGCGGCCACGATGAGCAGACGAAATGAGCGACGGAACGAACAGAGGGCCGCGAGGGTTGCGAATGCGATTGAGCGCTCCGATGCCACGGCCGACGTGCAAATGACACCCGCCCCCGCAGCGAGACCAGGCCTTTCTATTCGGGGGCTCGCGGGCCCCTTTGCCGTCATGGCACAGAACTTCGCGCCCGGCACCACGGCCGCTGACATCGAGAGCGCGATGACACCCGTAGGCGGTGAGATGCTCAGTTGCCGGATCCTCAAGACGACCCCGTTGCTCGTGGCGGAAATGGTCTTCGCTACCAAGGAGGGCGGCGATGCCGTGATCTCTACGTTCAACAACCAGACCGTGAGTGTTAGGATGTTCGGGAGTTGAACTGCTCGCTGACATTCTCAGGCCGACGGACGTGTTATCAAGGTTTACCCCAAGCCCGGCGGTTACAAGGACACCAATGCGCCAGCAAGCACTAACGGATTCCGCGATGCTCGCCCTACATCGAGCAATGTCATTGACGGATCTAACGGCTTCCCTGAGCCTGTCCAGGCCGATAACACCGGAGGCAACGGCCTCTACAGTGATAAGATGGTTGGTAGAGGCAACGGCGGCGGCGGCGGCGGTGGTAACCGCAGAGGACGCGGTTGGAACCGCGGCGGACGGCGGTAGTAAACAGCCATAGCAACACTGAATCAGAAACCGGGATGCTTGTCTTTGGCGTTGGTAAAGAGCGGTTGGAAGGTCGAATACCAAGGCGACTCATGTTTATGCTTTCCCTGTTGCAGCGAACATTCGGGGATTTCTTTTCTTCTTCTTTTTCTTCTCTCTCCTCTAACGGACCGCAAGAGGTTAGTATCACTTACCCAGGAGCATATGTAACAGTAGAAAACGTTCTTATCGCTTCTTAGCATCAAGTCGTCATTTCGGTTTCACCCTTTCCTCAACAGGGACTCTTGGACCTCGTCGCGTTTTGTACCGCTCGGAAGAGAAAAGTACTTAAAAAGCAATGTTCAGCAAGAAGTGGGTATATTTTGGAGATGATAATAGTTTTGAGGCGCCTTTTCCTATGATACAGCCCTGTCGCTTCGTCCATCTTTTTGCGCATCAAGTTTCACGCTGGTGGTCAAAACAGGCTGGGAGTCCTGCTGTTGGGGGTCAGTCAATTCGACCACGAAACGGTTGATGGCATTTCGCTTCTTCTTAAGATCTTCAAGCTGATCTCCTTGCTCGAGAAGCTGCCTCCTTTCGACTCTGTCGACCGTGGCGATGAGGCTGCGAGCAAGATCAAGAACGAGTTTCGCAAACTCGATGCGGCGTTCGCCCCCTCTCTCGGCGGATGGGTTGGGTTTGGCCTTGGGTTTGGCGCTTGGTTTTGCCGCTGCCAGCACACCTTGCCTGGCCGTGCAAAACGGGCCATATAACTTGTCGACGGCCGAAGCCAGCTGCTTGCCGTAGCCCCGATCCGCGCCCTCCTGGTTGCCAGACTTGGCCATCTGGCGGAAGGCATGGTCTGCTGCCACAGCGACCCGGTGGTAGAGAATTAGCGCGAGGATGTCGATGCGTGGGGGAAACCGCCTATCGTTCTTCAGAGCTTCTGCACGCAACATCGTGTTGTCGATGATGCCGGTCGCAATGGTGAAGGCATTGGGGTTCATATTATCACGGAGGCACGCTTGTAGGGCCTGGTGTACTAGAGATGATGTGAATTGGGCCTGGGGCATCTCTGAGAGGATGTTCATGGCGAGGGCGCTGGCTCCACGGCGCTCAAGTTGCGACATGTATAGTTCGAAGTTGCCGGCGTCAGGCTTTAGGCCGTAGTGATGGACGAAAAGATTCCAGTAATCAGTGGCTAATCGGGGCTGTCTTTGGGTGGCTCTGGATGAAATGAGGAGGGAGAGTGTCTTTGGACCTGGAACCGCGAGTTTGACGCCATCGCGATCTTGGTCATCCTGAGATCGCTTGTTGCTGACGGCAGCGATATCTCTATTGCCATTATCCTCGTTGATCACACCTCTCCAGTCTCTTTTAACATTGGCGTCCTCCAAGTTGGGTATGCCCATGGTGTCATGCAAATGCTGCATCAATTCCTTTTCTGGCAGTATGCGCGCCATGGCCAGGACCAACTCCTCGTCCATGGTAAGCCTTCCGGCTCGCCACTCGCGCATTACCTCTTCCCAGATGCGCTTGCACTGATCAACAACCTTTAGCGTCTCGCTCTGTTGTGTGCCCGCTGGCTCCCTGGTACCTCCGACATCATGGCTAGACTTGGACATGATACTGAAGCGCAAGCTGTTGAGAATGGTTGTGTATGTTCGTGCGTCTGCTCCGCGACCGGCCTTCGGGTCCGCCGAATCCAGGATGGCGAACATGGAATCAACGTCCTTCCCGCGGCCGCATGCTTGGAGGACAGCGTTGAGGTGTATTTGGTTCGCCTTGACTCTTGTATCTTGCAACAGAGTACGATACAGCTGGACCGCCCGCTTGACACCGGCCTCGGGGTGAGGTACGTTGGCAAAACCGCGGAACATGATAGTGTACGTCTGCTCGTTGGGTTTCTGCCCGCGCTTCTTCATGTCGTTGAAGAGCTTCCATGCGTTGGCGGGGCTTTTTCGGGTGACAAGCTCGTAGTCGAGGACGTGGTTCCAGGCAACGGCACAATCGTCTCTCTTGCTGGCTTCTTTCACCAGGAGGACGGCTTCTTCATAACGGTCCGTTTTAAGCATCGCTTGGACTTGCTGGGCAATCTTCCAGCGGTCCTCCGAGTACGCGAGTTCTTTTTCAACAACTCGCTTGACCCTTCTTTCTCTCTGACTTTTCGCTAGCACCTCTTGTTCTTGGGGTGCTGCGTTCAATTTCCGCATGAACTTCTCCTGCGTGATTGCGTCGGCATGGCTTAGTCGGATCAGCGGCAGGCCATATTGAGAGATGCGAGGCGTCCTGGCGAACAAAGCTGCTGTCTTGATGGGCTTGGTGAACCTCCTGAGACACGCCGTACAGGCCAACATGCTGGGTATCGATTCTGATTTTGCACGCCAGGAGAGACTCCTAATTGTGCTGGTAGATGCGCCGTGACTTAGAAATTTTGCAGTGACTGAAGCTGCTAAGAATGAAGCTGTCGCCTTATCTTATCGGACGTAAGTGAAATATCGGTATCCGTATTCGTACTCTGTATCCGTACAACGGCATGCATGCTTAGCGTGTCACGCAGGCCACTGACGTTTGGGCCGCGGGGGCCAAGCCTCTTGCACCCCCCACATGCTTGTAGTGGACCAATTGGCCCAGTTCAATTAAGCAGAACGCGTCGCAAACACGGACGCGACTTTTCTCAACACGCGCCGCCCCTTGCAACGGGCCAAATTATAGTGCCTAGAACCCCGTCCTTTGCGATTTCCGCTCACAACATGCCTGTTTCCACCCTCTGATAGCCACACCGAACCGCCAACAACTCATTTTGCCCGCGGTCTTGATTTTGTTCGCGAAACCATGAACTAGACACCTCTTCTACACACTTTCGCTTTCTGATTGATATCCTACAAAAGAAAAACCACCCATCATGCCGAAAGCCGACAGGCGCTCGAAGCTCGCCGAGCTTCGAGCTCTCCGACAGTCTGGCAAGAAGGGTAACTACGAAGTCGAGGACGTTTCCGAATTGTACGAGGAGGTCGACGAGAACCAATACAAAAAGATCATTAGGGACCGTCTGGACCAGGACGACTTCGTTGTCGACGACAATGGCGAAGGCTACGCTGACGACGGCCGAGAGGAGTGGGATCGTGCCCCTCAGTATTATTCGGACAGTGACGAGGATGTGACTATACAAGGACGCGGCAGGCCTAGCAAAGCATGTAAGATAGCCTGACCATACCCATCATTCGAGTCTGGACAACAGCTAAAAGCAAGTAGTAAAGAAGCAGCGCGAGGACGAGGTAGCCAAGCGAGACGCAAACGATCGAGACATTAGCGAGTACTTTACAAAGGGTGCTGTCAAGACACAAGCAAAGCCAAAGGTTTGCATTAACGAAACTGTGGGACGAACTCTATGGTAACCAGGTCAACAGGTAGCGAAGACAAAAGAAGATGACGCCTTCCTTGCCGACTTACTCGGCGAAGTGGACGCCAACGTCCCCGCACCCGTCTCAAGGTCTGGGGGCAAACGCAACAGATCCCCGGAACGGCGAAGAGCCCGCGTGCTCTCTCCCGCGCCAGAGACTAGACGGCCTTTGTCCAAGAGACCCAAGACCGTAGACGACCGACTTCCTTCTCCGACCATTGACGACTCGGTGCTTGACGATGGCTACATGCCGCCTATGGGCGACGATAGAGAGGACAGTCCGATCATGGAGGCTGCTGATATTCCCATGTCTGACCCGGCACCATCATCGCCGGCGGCAAAGGTAGCTCAGCGAAAGGCCCAGATCAAGGCAGAGCCAAAAGACGAGGACGATGACGATATGATGGAGGTCGCACACGCCGGTACCATCACCACTGCCAGCGTCAACATCGCCGGATCGAGACCTCCGAAGAAGCTGATCAAGCCGGAGCCGTATCCTTCGCCCCTGAACTCGTCCCCTGCTAAAGCAGCCGAGCCCATGGTGGACTCGTCTGCTTGGAACTTCATTACTGACCAGCTCAACGTCGTCAGCAGCTCACCTGCGGAGGCGAGAAGTGTTGGTAAGATCGACTACAAGGATGCTGTCGAACCGGACGGCAGTCTCAACTTGTTCTGGACAGACTACACTGAGGTGAATGGCAGTCTCTGCCTCTTCGGTAAGGTCTTAAACAAGAAGACCGGGCTGTATGTCAGCTGTTTCGTAAAAGTCGACAACATCCTGCGCAAGCTGTACTTTCTGCCGCGCGAAACAAGAGTGCAAGGCGGCGAGGACACTGGGGAGGAGGTCGGGATGATGGACGTCTACTCTGAGATTGATGCCATGATGACCAAGATGAATGTTGGCATGTACAAGATCAAGGCTTGTAAGCGCAAGTATGCATTCGAACTGCCAGGAATCCCCAAAGAAGCACAGTATCTCAAGTGCCTCTACCCATATACAAGTAAGTCACCGGTATGAAAGCTTTGGCGAACGTCGGCTGACTAGAGGGAAAAAAGAGCCCGTGATCGATGGATCCGCTACTGGAGAGACCTTTTCGCGCGTTTTCGGCACCAACACCGCTTTATTTGAACAATTCGTTCTATGGAAAAACATTATGGGACCATGCTGGCTCAAGATCAACGACGCCGACTTTGGCGCCCTCAAGAATGCCTCTCACTGCAAGCTTGAGGTCTTAGTCGAGCACCCAAATATGGTCGCCCCGCTGAGTGACTCCGATAACCTCGACACGCCTCCCCTGACATTGATGGCCTTGTCCTTGCGTACCGCATTCAATGCTCAAGCCAACAAGCCCGAGATCCTCGCCATCAGCGCCAGGATTTACGAGAAGCTGTCATTAAATGACACCACTCCCGCCGAAAAGCTTCCCTGCCGAACCTTCACACTTATTCGGCCGTACGGCACGTCGTTCCCGCTTGGGTTCGAGACAATGGCCAAAGAGCGCAAGAGAGGCCTTCTCAAGACGTTCCGTCAAGAATCTGAAATCCTTCAGTTTTTCCTAGCACAGCTCGATGTTGTTGATCCTGACGTTATCTTGGGACATCAATTAGAGGGCGTCGACTACAGTGTGCTACTCAACCGTCTACACGAGAAGAAGACACACCAGTGGTCTCGCCTCGGTCGTCTCAAGCGGTCACAATGGCCAGCTTCCATGAACAAGGTCGGCGGCAATGTATTCGCTGAAAGGCAAATCATGTCTGGTCGTCTTCTCTGTGATCTCGCCAACGATGCCGGAAAATCTGCCATGTATAAGTGCCAGTCTTGGAGTTTGACAGAGATGTGCAGCCTCTACCTATCGGGCAACAACCGCCGTCAAGACATTGATAATGAGGCGGCTCTCAAGGGCTGGGCTACTCAAAACAAGGATGGCATGATGAACTACATCACTCACATGGAGACCGACACACATTTCATCACTGCCCTTGCCCTCCAAGTCCAGCTTCTGCCTCTGACCAAAGTCCTCACCAACTTGGCTGGTAACTCCTGGGCGAGAACTCTCACAGGTACTCGTGCTGAGCGGAATGAGTACATTTTGCTGCATGAGTTTCACCGCAATAAGTACATCTGTCCCGACAAGCAAACTTTCCGGGGCAGAATGGCCCAAGAAGATAATCAAGAAGAGGAAGGCGAAGGCAAGAAGAAGGACAAGTACAAGGGAGGTCTTGTCTTTGAGCCCGAAAAGGGTCTGTACGACAAGTTCGTTCTCGTCATGGACTTTAACTCCCTGTATCCCTCTATCATTCAGGAGTTTAACATTTGCTTCACGACTGTCAACAGATCAGCAATGGTAAGCTAAACACATCTTCTGGAAAGGCGACAATATCTAATCATTTCTTAGAACGAGGACGAGGACGCTGTGCCCGAGGTTCCCAAGGATCAGGACCAGGGCATTCTGCCCAGACTAATTGCCACTCTTGTCAGTCGAAGAAGACAAGTCAAGGCTCTCATGAAGGACAAGAGCGCCACTACGGGCCAGCTTGCCACCTGGGATATCAAACAGCTTGCGTTGAAGCTCACAGCCAATTCCATGTACGGATGCTTGGGCTACACCAAGTCTCGTTTCTACGCCCGTCCGCTCGCAGTCTTGACCACGTACAAGGGTCGTGAGATCTTGCGGAGCACCAAGGAGCTTGCTGAAAGCAAGGCCCTTCAGGTCATCTACGGAGACACTGATTCCGTCATGATCAATGCTAATGTCGAAAATGTGGCGGACGCGTTCAAGGTGGGCCAGGATTTCAAGAAGGCAGTCAATGAGCGATACAGACTTCTCGAGATCGACATTGACAACGTCTTCCGCCGTATCCTGCTCCAGGCCAAGAAGAAGTACGCCGCCATCAACTTGGTTGAAAAAGACGGCAAGTTCATCGAAAAGATGGAGGTCAAGGGTCTAGACATGAAGCGTCGCGAGTACTGCACTTTGTCCAAGGAAATCTCCAGCAAGATTCTTAACGAGATTCTTTCCGGTGATGAGACAGAGGTGTCTATTTCCCGTATTCATGAGTACCTGAGAGAGATCTCTGGCATGATGCGCGAGCAGTCCGTCCCTCCCCAAAAGTATATCATCTTCACCCAACTCGGCAAGACTCCTACAGAGTACCCCAACGCAGACTCGATGCCCCAGGTTCAGGTAGCGCTTCGGGAAATTGCTCGAGGAAAGACAGTTCGCCGTGGTGACGTTGTTTCGTACATCATCACCGGTGATCCTCAGAGTTCCGATCCTGCGCCGAAGAGAGCATACCTTCCCGCCGATGTCATGAAGGCCGACTCTGGCCTCTCGCCTGACGTCGAATGGTACATGGGCAAGCAGATCTTCCCCCCTGTTGAGCGTCTATGCGCAAACATTGTGGGCACGTCAAGCTCTCAACTTGCAGAGTGCCTCGGGTTAGATATTCGCAGGTACAAGTCGGCGCATGATGGTCATCAAAGCTCTAGCAACGACATGGAGATCCATCCCCTTGAGTCGCAGATCCCCGACGACGTGCGGTTTGCCGAGTGTGCGCGTTTGTCTCTGCGCTGCCGCACCTGCAAAAAATCGTCTGTGTTTGAGGGTCTCCTCGCCCAGCCTGATCGTGTGTCGGCTTCGGGTGTGCTCTGCGATTCGTGCGACGCAACCATTCCGATAATGTCCATTGTGGCCCAAGTCGAACATGCTCTTCGCACGCAGACTGCTCGCTACTACGAGGGCTGGCTCGTGTGCGACGACACGGCTTGTGGCATCCGCACTCGTCAGATGAATGTTTACGGCACCCGCTGTCTGGGACCCAAAGGCCTTGCGCGGGACTGTCTCGGCCGCATGCGCTACGAGTATACCGAGAAGGCAATTTACAACCAACTGGTGTACTTTGCCAGCCTGTGGGACGTCGAAAAGACCAAGGCGTCGGCCGAGAGTGGGAGCGACCTCTCCCGCGAGGAAAAGGACAAGATATTCGCACTTGCCGAGCATAACCGCGTCCGGTTTGACACCGTCAAGGGCGTGGTTGACAAATATCTCGACAAGTGTGGCAGGCAATGGGTCGCCATGGACACTCTGTTCGCGAAGCTGGGATTCAACAAGCCTCTTCTTACCGCCGCATAAGCCAGACAACGAACCGCGAAATGCAATGATGATGAACCGGACGGGATCACTTTAGAATGAAGCTTGGCTTGGGCAGTAGGACAAGGTTTCAGGGAGGGGAGTTTGTTTGGCTTTCAGTATACATTGCTCTCTCCTGCCTGGCACAACAGTGGCGGGTTTTCAGATTGTTGAGCCTGGCGTTTTCGGCAGATTCAAATTTGGGCAGTTGGGCACGTATCGATGAACGCATAGCATTGGTCTTGGTATGCAAGAAGGCCAATTTTAATTCACATCAGTCGTGTCTACTCAAGTAGAGCCTTTCGAGCTTCCGTTTGCATGTGGTGTTCTCTCTCACTTCGTTCTACATTTAGTGCTAGCATACCAGCATACTGCCTTTACTAGGCTCGTCAGCCCCTTTCTTACACCTCGTCTGTCGATGGTTGGGAGGCCAACGACGGCGCAGCATGAGGGGGGGCAGGGTACATCAGGGCTGGCAGGGGTGTGTCGACAAATGAGGCTATTTTCGAGGGATATAAAGCCCTCATGCACGACGCTACCCACATTCACACATGCGTTCACACGCCATAAAGACAGGGCTATCAGTAGTCAGTAGACCGCGAGGCAAATACGACACATGGGGGGATTGTATGAACTGTGTGGTCTCTTTTTTTGCTGATCCACTGGCTGGCTCTTGCCAAGTTAAATGTACAAAGTCAGAAAGAGTATTAGGTCCTCCGCCCGGTCCGATTAATCCCGCCGATGTCTCATCTTCTTTGCCCTATTCATCATGGCTCGAACCCAGGAGCCAAGCTGCCGTTGGCGACCGGCAACAAGGTCCTGACATCCGTACTAGAACTGGGCCAATCTCTTTTTTAGAGTGTTCCGTGACCAGACCGTTTCATTGCCCTCCCAAAACCGGGGGGGAAACCTCACTTCCTTTTCCCCCAAACTTGTTTCCATGCAAAGTGTTGTTGGGTCTCCGCTGTGAAAAACCAGCCAGTGGACAAGCCAATGCCAAAAGCAAACGTAAAATAGAAAAAGACGAAACCCTCTTCTGAACATTCCCAGAATCCCCTTTTCTGCATAACAGGAAATCACGACCTGGCCGAAGCTCCCCATTGTATGCTTTTGTTGAGTGCCCTCATATCCGCCTGGAAGGTCAGCGTGCTGGCCAGGTCATACACACATGAGCTCTCCATTGCTGGATGGACCCTCCCGAGGTCGTCTTCTTTCATTCGTGCATCTGGCATTTCCATTCGCCCATGTCCCATCCCTCCAAACATAGCCAGGCACAATAAAGATGACCCGTAAAGCGTCGTGAACTCGTATTAGAAAGGAATAGAAACACATGTTGAGAAACGCATCGGGGGATGCGTTGTGGAGTTGGGGAGGGGTAGGATGTAGGAAAACGGACGTCTGTGGTCCGAAATTGAGAAAACCTCTCTTCCTTGCGAGAGGTTCTCTCGGTTGCGAATCGTCTATGTCGGTATTCTTCTCGAGGTATCATGGTCCGCAGTAGTAAAGATCAGGGTAACTTTTGAAACACACGAACTGTGAAAACCCTTGTGTAAATGCACCAAAACAACCCCCGCCCCTGTCTATTTGCTGAAATGCAACGACTCATTGGAAAAGGAAATACTCAGGGTCTCTCCTCATTTGTCTCCGCCGGCAGCGGAGCTGTCAGGAACGGCCTTGGACAGTGCAGGCGATGCCGCAGTCGAGGGAGGAGAGGCTGGGTTTTCGCTGTCCAAATTGGCGAGTGCGCTATTGACTAGTGAGATATTGACCAGAAGAAAAGAAGATCATGATTATTATCTTACCTGAAAGCGTTGGTGTGCTGAGTGGTAGGCGGTGTTCCGGTGCGGGAAGAAGCACCAGAGTCCTCACCAGGGCGGCCGAGGGAGCCGCCAGGGCCGAGTCTGCGGCCGCTGTTGCTGCGCGAGGCAAACATGGACGTAGGTCCAAGAGTGACATTGCCGCTGGCGGCTCTGCTGGTAGAACCCTTCAGGCGGCGCAGGTCATCCATACCAACCTGGTTGGAAGCAGCTTGCATGTAGCCAGACGAAAAGTTGCGGGAATCGCCACGACCAAGGTTGGGACGACCGCCAGGCCCCCCACGCTGGCTGCCGCTGCGCTGGTTCTCCTGAGCCTTCTGGATGGCAGCAGCCTCAGCCTACAATTTTGTTAGCCTCCGTTTGAGCATTTCAGGTATTACTGATGTTCTTACCTCGGCACGGATCTCCTCCAGAGTCTTTGGGCCCTTGTTGGCCTCCTTGGAAGACCAACCAGACCTACGGAGGTCAATGACGTCCATGAGCATGAACTTCAATCTGCTGGCGAGCTCGGGCATGTCGACCATGTGCTGAATGCGTTCGAAGTAGGCATTCATCAGCTGCTTGCCCTTGTCTGATGCATCGAGGTTGCCGCCAATTGTTCTCAGCAGCTTGGAAAGAGACTCAATCTCTGCTTCGTCGGGCACGCCCTCGTAGTCAACCAACTTGCGTACACACTCATGCATGATACGTTCAGTCAGCATGCCGAGCTTGTATAGCTCACCAATGAACTGAACCAGACCAAGACCACGACGCTTGGCGGCAGCAGCAATGTAGTATTCGTCGGACAGCATGACAGCCTCTCCGGTAGCCTTGTCCTTCTCGCCTTCCTTGAGCTCTGGCAAGTTGACCTTCCAACCACGCTCGAACTCTTCTTGGCAGCGGTTGAGCAGGTACTTGCGGAACAGAGCACCGCCACTAACAACAACACCATTCTTGTCCTTGATGTTCTCGTCGCGAATCTCGGCGCTCATCGTGTCAAGCATGCGCTTGCAGAACTTGGCGTACATTGAGGCCCAGTGAGCTTCATCAGTCGCCTTCTCAAAGGTGAGCTGGATGACCTGGCGGAGGGTGCGGCCGTCAGACTCGTCCTTGGACTGGCCCGCAATGGCGAGGATCTGGTCGGCAATCTTGTCGAATTTCTCGGGGGTCATCTTGTTGAGCGCGGCCTTGACCTTACGTTGGACCATTTCGGGATCCATGTGGTCTGCAGCAGCACCGCTACCAGCGGCACCACCCTTTCCAATGCTGGTAGGCTTCCAACCGGTAGCGGAGACCGCGATAGGCTTGACTTCCATGCCCTGCGTAAGAGGCATGGTCTTAGCTGCCTGCGCCTCCTTGGCGTTGAAGTCGTTGCGTCTACTACCACCTCCTCTTTGAGAACGAGTTCTAGGTGAGTTGGGTCCCATGTTGGAGGAGGAAGGTGTGCGAGCCATCTGTCCAGCGACAGGGAAGGAGGGACGGAAGTTGCCCATACCACCCATGCCGCCTGCGCTCATAGCAGCATTGGACATGGCGAAGCGTTCAGCAGAAGTTGTACCTCTGACGTTGGGGTTCATGGGGCCGCCAGGGGCGCCGAACTTGCCCATCACTCCGGCAGCAGAGCCGCGTTGAGAGTTTCCGCGGCCAGATCCAGCTCGGGGAGTAGAAGCGGAACGGGAGCCATCGTTGTCACCAATCAAAGACTTGACCTGTTGGTGGAATTCCATGGAAGGCTGCTCGGTAAAGACCTTCTGGAACTGGAGCAAGAACTGAGCGTCGTACTTGAAGGTCTTGCCCTTCTTGGCGACAGCGGCATTGAGTGCGGGGTTGGGGGAGCTGATTCCCGCAGGGTAGGTGTCCTGGTTGATAACTTGCAAGAAGCGAGCAGACTTGAGTGACTGGAGAGCGGCGCTGGGCTGAGGCGGCTCGACAGGCTTGGTGTTGAGGGGGGCGAGGTTCAGAGGGGAAGGCTTGGCTCCACGCTTCTCGGTAGGAGTGGCCTTGGGCGCAGACGCCTCAGTAGGAGTGGAAGCCTTTGAATCGCCACCAATGCTCAGGGTAGAGAGCTTGTCGGTGACGTCGCCAACCTTGGCAGGCTCGTCGGGAAGGTCTCCTGACTTACTCTTCGCAAGAAGCTCGGCAACAGAGGGGGCAGAGGAGGCACCCTGGGCACGCTTCCTCTCCTTCTCCTCCTCAAGACGCTCCATCTCACGCTCAGCCTCGCGGAGCTTGCGATCTTCGTCGGCAGCGTTGGCCTTCTTCTTCTCCTCCTCGGCCTTCTTCGCAGCCTCCTTTTCGATGGCCTTCTTCGCGTTGTATTCCGCAGCCTCCTTCTCGCGACGAGCATCCTCTTCTTCCATCTCCCTGATCATGCGTTCCATTCGTTCGTCCTCGGTTTCGGCCTCAGCGACAGGTTCGGCGGGCTTCTCAGCCTCTGCCTTGGCCTTAGCCTCAGCTTCGGCCTTGGCGTCAGCTTCAGCCTTGGCGTCAGCTTCAGCCTTGGCCTTCTCTTCTTCCTGAGCCTTACGCTTGGCCTCGGCAGCTTCTTCCTCGGCCTTGCGAGCCTCCTCCTTGGCCTTCTCCTCAGCTTCAGCCTTGGCCTTAGCTTCGGCAGTCTTCTTCTCCTCCTCAACAGCCTTGGCCTTGGCCTCGGCCTCTTCCTTAGCCTTATCCTCGCCACCCTTGGTGGCTTGCTGGATCTTGGCTCTAAGCTCGTCCTGGATCTCGCGAGCAGTCTTCGGGGTGGCTTGGCTATCGTTACGGACATGGGATGGCGTCGCTGACTTCGGTGGAGGGGTAGGGGTAGAAGTCACAATCGGAGGAGTCTTGGATTGCTGAATGCTTGGAGCAGGAGAGGACGGGGTCTTCATGCTCTTGAAGTCAACAGCCTCACCCGCAGCATTCTTGATGACGATGGCCGCGCTCTTCTTGGGGCGAACAAAGTTGTTACCGACAACCATTGGGGTCTTAACCTGAGCATTTTGAGGCTGGGGTGTACCAGAGACAACAGGCGCGGCCGGTTGACCAGTGCTTGAAGACGGCCGTTCCGAGTGCGAAGATGTACGTGACATAGCAGTCGGAGCAGGTTGGTGGAAAGGGGGAGGCACAAACCCAGGCTGGAAGGCCGGGGGAGCGCCGGGGGGGGAGGGCATGTACCCCATCTGGTTGTAGTAAATGGGTCTGCCGTAGTTGTCGAACTGGCCCTGA